CCTAATGATTGTCATCGATAACCCTATTGACCCGTAGTTCAACATTCCCCAACATGCCAAGCCCACAAGCTCCAAATTTATGGCTGGCAATATCCAGAAACACTCGAATTCGCACGTGTATTATTTACTCTCGACAACTTGAGGCTAAAAACAAGCAGGATTATACGGCAGCAAAATAGCCTGCGCAGCCCTCCATTTTCTGCAGGGGAGAAGTCCAAGAGAGGTCTCTCTTATCAGGAAAGCGAGGCTGCTGTTACCAGGGACCGGGAGCTATCTCTACCGACGATTGTCATTTCAGCACGGTCCGAAGCTGGCCTAGGGGTGGATCACGATTCGGTAAATAGCTCAGTTACAGTGCATGGCGTGCCGTCGCGAGATCTTACATGCAATCCTAGATTTTATCACTTTAGGCTAGTATTATGGAGCGTGGATGAGGACTGGAGAAGTTGCCATCTTCAACACATCTCGGCGAAGATTCGACCGATTCCGATGTCAGTTAATAGCAGCGGGAAAGTAACAAATATAGACCGGGGATGACGAATCGGGAACGGGCTTGCGAAGAGCTGTTCGCGGGCAAGGTTTGAAGAGGGTCTATTAGTGGCTATATAACGCGCCCTCCGCGCGTCTTGTTTTTCCCTGGCGGGGCTGCGGGTTCTTCCTTCTCTCCTTTTTGTCACCCTTTACGTTCAAGGAGACTTGCAAGTATCAGATCGACCCCGGTTCGCCGCAAGGGGAGTTCGGGACAATGCCGAGTTCGCAAACAGTTCTGACACGGAGGAGGCGTGTCTGTGCCGTGTTGGGACAACTCGAAGGTGAGATGGGAAGCGGTCTCTCGGGGCGCTATATAGGGCACGAGGGTTGGCCTTGGCTATGCTGGCTGGCAGGCAAAGCACAGTGTCGTGTGTCAAGCGCCAGAAATCCCCCAAAGCTCTGGCAAGTTTTGACTGGACCGCGGTCCGCGGTGGACCAACAGAACTTCTGCTTGAGACTAACCAGAGACACAGAGCTAAATTCCCCTGCTCCCCGGTCACCCCTTGACAGCCGGTGAGTTATGTGTTTTCGCTCAAAATGGGTGAACAGACAAAATAGAAAAATCAAAACTTCACGGCTTGAAACTTCTGGCCTCGATACGGACGGCGTAAATCATAAACTGTCCAGCCGACGGTTGCAGGCAAGTGGTCAGGCATGTGGCCGTGGCCGAAATGGGGTTAATGCGGGGTTATTCCTGATTTATGGGAACCTTATCATTTAATTCATCAACCCAAATGGGCGCTACTTTTCACTAACCAGACAACCATCATTGTCTGATGAATGAAAAGTGAAAGGATATGACTAAGCTAGAAAAGTGGATCGCTTACTTACCTGTATCGGGAGCAGGGGACTTATGGGTCCAAACTCTTTCAACATTTCGTCCGACCCTCACTTTTTCTGAGTATATCTGTGACACCTCCAAGCCTGGTTTCCTAACACTTCAGTCTAAAGCCGCTCTTGCAAATAAACCGGCCCAAAAACCCACAGTTTACGAAGATTACACATACCACGGCATATTTACTGTGAGAGGGACTACCCACAAACAAGTCATTATTTTTGCCCGCATCACTGTTTGGGAAATAAAAGCCACCCATTTGACGATTTGATCATAATAAATTAGCCGTAAACTTGACGTATATAGGCCGGCCAATGGGCGATATAAGCCGGCATAGTTATTCATTATCGGCTGCTGCAAAGTCACAAATCACCGGCCGCTTTAATGGTCTCTGCCGTGCCGGTTGACAAGGATCGTACGTTATGCCGTCGACGCAAGACAAAAGAAACAGCGGGTAATTTGGCTGGAAATTTACAGTCGTTGGGGCCTGCAACTGCTTGATCTGTTTTGCTAAGAGTTGGTGATGAAGGGGTCGTTCTCGGGCGTGTGTTTTCCATTTGTTGTCCCGAGTGAGTAATAAAGTTGTCACACCTTTTCTGGCGAGGAGGTCGCAATGTTGCCCACACTAGAGGGGGCTCGGGAGTCATTTTCTCCTTCAGTGTGTCCAATGCAGATCATTTTTCAACCCGTGATATCGCCACCAGAAACGCAAGCAACAAAAAATTGAACAATCTTTGCCCTTGCATGTCATTTCGGCCACACTTACGTGGCACAAAAATCGCCACCTAAAATCAGGCATTGATTCTCTCTCCTGATAATTGTGTGACATTCAATTCCAAAACAGAGTCTTATCGTTGTGACACGCAGGATATTGCATCATCACCTTGAGCGCTCAGGTTGCTGTTGTTTCTAATCATGCTTTCAACAACTTTCCGCCAACGTTTCCTTGGCAAAATAAGCTCATCGATCATTTCGGTCATCGAAATGCACAGTAGCGCCCTCTCTAGAAGGCACCTCGTAATACGCCCCTTCCCACGTACCATACCAAGTCATGATGACGCCTCTCGTATTTTACTTATGATAGTTCCTAAATATTTATTTAAAGGTCCTTCAAAAGTCATTTATTCTGATGAGTTTATTTTGTCAGCCATCGAAACATTTTGTTTCATATAAGCCTCCGAAGGAAGTTCCGTCTTCAACTGAGTCTGTTGGGGCTAAGCTTTTGACCACATTTCGTTTTCAGATCTAATCTGAGAATGCTCCTTCCAGTAAGAACCGTCATACAATACAATACTTCTCTTTTGGGGTATTTGAAAATATATACATGTACAAAGATGAACTGGTGTAATAAAGCAATGTTGCACTCGAGATATACTCCAACTATGTTCGATTTGGGCCATCGTTGAACTGCCTTTGGGCAAACCTGTGGCCTAGGCCCAGGCGTCCAGGCAACGGCACAATTAAACAGTGAGTGATGTCAGATTATTATCGTCCCCGTTGAGTTGCCATTTACAATACAAGCAGAATCTCATGGTGTTGTTCGACAAATTCCCGTTGTGAGAACGCGCTGGGTGTCGGCAATGCACGTATACCCATGACCTGCCTGCAAACGTTTAGCGCATTTTCACGACCCACCGAAACGTGGATTAAAAGGGACAAACGCAATGGTTCCGAGTCGCTCTAAATTTGGGGTTTGCGGTGTATGCAGGGAAAACTGATTACAAGCCCAAAATGTGTGACAGCTATTGCCTGTCATGGCACCTGTTCCCAGCTGATATGAGCCAGGCACATTAAGATTCTGAGCAGTAGTCCCTGGTTTATATAGCAACTCCATGGTAGTATCTTCCTCCATGCAGACGTGTCGATTTTTTGGTTGGATGGAAAAGAATGCAAAATTTCCGACACCAGCAATCTCACAAAGGTATAGTCCTGGTGCCAGTACATTTTATCTGCGCATAATCCTTGAGTGGTGCAACGCATTACAAACAGATGGCTTACAGATAGAGTATCTAACAATTCAGAGCTGCAAGGATTTCTTTAGAATTCTACAGCTGCATAACTGTATAAGGCTATAGGGTTTCCTCATTCTACGTCATAGTTGTGTTTTGATTTCAAATTGGCTGCAAATAATATGGCTGACCATCAGACCAAAAGCAGAAAGACTAATTCAGGAAATGTTACAAAATCTCCAGCAGCTTTCAAAATACTACTTGAAATTACGAACCTCTTTAAAAGCAAATGTATAGGCCTAAATGGGGAAATTTGCAGTTTGAGGGAAAGTCTGAAACCGCTCATGGGTGCATGACATTTCTGCAGACTTTGGCCGCCTAGATACAAATATTGTAGGCAAAATGACAACAGTCCGTAAGTGGCAGGCTCACACAATGGATATCGCACGCTTCAGGCTTATAACAGGCAATAAACACATTTTGTTATCTTACTTTGCTAAGTGATGTCTTGATAATTATCCCGTCTGCCATCAACGCAAGATGACAAGGAGGAACAAGAGACAACCAAGCATCTCGCTGTCAGCTGCACGGTGAGGTTGGACCAGTAGTCAGTCTTGACGAGTATTGACAAATGGTCCTTTAATTACCTGTTGTCTCTTAACGTAACTGAATTAATTACAGTCATTACTTTACAGACCGGGTGACGACGCCTATCAGATGCTGTTCAAATCATCGACATTGCGTGGGCCATAGGCCCGCCTGTTGTCCAACATTTTGTTGAAAGAAATGTCAGTTTTTCGATGATGTCAGCGCGATTCCTAGAAGACTGTACATGTATAGCCTCAACCTCGGAACGCGAGCAGTAGCAGTGTCAGCCAGAAATCAGTGCTCAACCGTCAGAATAATTAATCAAAATTTCAACAAGAATGGAAGCAGTCGCACTGTTTCATTACAACTCACAAGTCGTGCATTGAAAACTGTCTGCACCTTAGGGTCGTTTCGGTCTTGGGTAATAATAAAAATAATATATAGCGCATATCACTTCGGAAGTCCCTATGTGCTTGTTATCATTCAGGGTATACTTTAAATTAAGTTCCCACGCTTCGCATGAGTGTGCATAGATGGCTTACCAACCAACCACTCTCGTCCATGTGGTCAATTTGGTTACCGTTGGAAAGTGAAAAATCGCCAATTTTACGCTCTCAAATGGCACAGCCGACGATTTTCAACTGTGACTAAACTGATCCAACTGAAAAAAGGTGTCAGTTTTCCCCCAAGAAAATCATACATATTATTAAAATTATTTAAGTGTCATTAAAATTATACGGATTCTACTTCAATTTAACATCTTAGATATACGACAGAAAACAGAGACAGCGCAAGCATGTGCAGTTGTCTTATCGACAATCGAAACTTTCACGGCGGTCTTCTGAAAAACGACTTACATAATAATAATGAACCAATGAAACACCACATTGCATGGTTCTGACTGCAGTAGTGCCCGGGAGATCGAGATGGTGTTAAAAACCGACTGAAACTGAAAAAAGAATAAACGAAAAACCCACAGAAATTCGAAGTGCAACAGGTCAATTAGAAATAACTGATGTATATGGGCCAAGGTTTTTTTCCGTTAAAGTGTTGTTGAAATCGCTGTTGAAATAAAACACAGAGCTAATGACTTGACAGAATATGACATATTTTAATGTAGGCTCCTCTCAGACTCGATAAAAAAAGACAATTTGACAGAGAAACGTCCCCGATCTGTTAAAGGAAGAGGACATTGTGTTGTATTATACATGTACCAATCAAACGTGCCAAACACTTTACAGAAGGAATAGTGAATTTTGGCCTTTCTTGCCAACCTTTGTTCAATGACTGTTCAAAAATGTATTTCACCAGCACTGAAAATGAAATTGCGTGTTGATTAGTAGTGTTTTAGATCAAATGGCGTGTCTGGTTTAGGAACAACGGCAGACCGTCACAATACATGTCACATGAGCGTTTTGGATTTCATCAGCAACGATGTGTACTTTTTTCTTGAATATGAACCAGTCCAAAGCACTATGTAGCAGCACGTGCCGCGTGGCAAACTATCGAAAATTCAAAAAACAAATCTGGTGTTCATGAAACGCAACGTGAGGAGTTCCAACAACGAACACACCTATATTTCTCTATAAAAATATCCTACTTTAAAAACATAACATTTTGCTTCATGGAAGCCCCTTATCACCATATTTTGGACATGCTCCTACAATTAGCATTTGGCTTAGAGGGCTGCAGCAGTTAAGCTCCGTGAAAATTCAGTTTCCTGATAAGTATTAATTTGTATGTAAATCCCAAATTCTGTGTGAATGTTTAAACTTCACCCGTTGGCTATTACTTGAAAATGCTTTCATTCACCTCAGAATGAGATAATTAAGCGAAACTTTTACCGCTCGACGGTACAAATGCTTCTCATTTTTGGAGGGTTGTTTAAGAAGTTCAATAGTGAAGAAACTGATCGTCAAAACGCTTCCTGAGATCCGAACCATTCGTCTAAAAGTCCTTACGGTTTCCTTTCCTCGCACCACTGTTTTCAGTTAAAATATGTAGATAACATATGAAACAAAAGCGCATCCGTGAAAAATGTTCAACCACAGCAATGACATCACTATTTAGCAATTAAAGGCTTGTGAATTAAAGGGGATTGAGGATTGAGAGTTGTTCTCGGTGAAAAACGTCTTTAGGTTGAACTCTCGTGGAATTCTTTCCAATGTTACTTGCTAACTGCCATAGTGGTTTGACAGAGTTGAACCCCTATATCTTGTAGAGAAAGGAAGTTTACTTTTTGACTCGACTTGGTTACGGTTGTGATCATCCCTAAAGATTCTGTTTTGAAAATCGAACTTTGAGCGATGTTCTTGTTCAGAATGAAAATTCTGTTCAGTTCAGTTACCGGCGTATGCCTGACTATCCTCAAACTCTCTTTTCATGTACGTTAGGCTCTGCATAGCCTGCGATTACATGGTCTAGCGCGGACTTTCAATTGCCAAAGCGCAGGGGCAAATTCATATACATGAACATGTACCGTAATCTCCCCACGGGCATCCGTGCCAGGCAGAAAAGAAGTGGTTTACCAACTCCAGAATCACAAGTCATCTCTAAACAAAAGATCCTACCCCAACTCCGTCCGATAGAAAAGATGCGTGTCTTGGTTTAAAACAAGGCCAAATATTAGTCACAACTGGCGGAAATACAGTGTCTACAGAGAACACTCTACTGTGTGGGTTTCCCCTGGTTCACTGTTTCCAACTTTTACGCACAGCACCGACTCCTTTTTGAGACAAAATTCAACAACGCCGAGAGCTTTAAATTCATAGAGTTTTTTTAAGTCCAAGGTACATGTACATTACGTTCCCTAAATTGTTTTGACAAGCTTGTAAATTCTAGCCTTAAAGACAATCATGATGTCTTAGTAAAGTGGGTTTGTCGTCAGAATTGCTGACTACAGATCAAATGCCACCAGACGTTTCATTTAGTTGCGATTTTTTCTGTCAACGTGATCATAAATGGCCGTGTTAATAGGCGACTGTGATCTTTCGCATTACCGCAGAAGTACCCGCGTGCATGAGACCCTGTTAATAACACACACCGAGAGGGGTTGACCCCGAGAGCGTTGCGCCGTGCAAGACGGCCCAACATACGGCACTCCGGCAGCCAATGCCTCACCATACTCACCGCGTAATTCTCAGGGAAATCTGTCACTCTCGACAAGAGATATTATCCGCAGTTCAAGGAGCACTAAAATTTAAGTTTCGGCGGTCACTGCCGAGGGAAAAGTTGAACCAGCAAGAGTGAGACGAGGGAATCTTTACAATTTTAATGACTGTTTACATCCAGCCGAATTTGTTTGTGTTATAAATGGACCCGCATTTACCCCTTGGTCCGGGCAAGCGGGCCTAGGGAATGGTTCGTTGCACACCCAAACACGAGGCGACGATTGACAAAAAGCAATGAGCAAGCTCGAAAAAATGTCGGCGAAACCTGGCAACGAGGCAGACTTTTCATACGTTGATACAACAGAGTAACACGGTGTGCGCGTTATCATTTTAATACGTCTGTTTTTGGACAGCCAGGATATTATGTCATCCATAAAAAAACACCTCCTTAATTAAAAAACGTGGCATTTTATACGAACACATTAAGAAAGTTTTACCGTCTTACCATTATATATTACCTTATCACACAATTACAGTTTGTGATCTTTCAACCACCATCACGTCACTATTTGGTAAATCCTTCAATATCTATAGCTATTTACACAAGTAACTATTCTAAGAGGTTATAAGCTTAGCATGCTCTCTAAACAAAACAAAATCATAAATTACAACTCCATTTGAATGATTGTCATAGCTAAAACTTATTTTAAACGTGGATTCAGTAAACAATATTGCACATACTTGCCAACTTCACTTAGCTTATAACGGTTGGCGTCATGGTTTCAAATCTGAAAATAACATCAGTGTGTTATTACAAGGAACGCGATCAAACATTCTTCAGTGTTTCGACCGTTCATGCCATGGCGACCGTGTTGGACAGCGCAATCCCCAGCTTTTCACACAAGCATGCACACGGGCAGTGTCTGTGGATAATGTCTCAGCAATGAAGTCCAAAAAGCTGACATTCACTTGTCTTGTTTCAGCTGCAAATTCATCACTCTCACTCACTCATTTTCCCGATATTGGCCTAGGATGGGCGAGTGCTAGGGGAAACAGGGCGGTTGGAAAGACCGGCAAGCTCTGAAGACCATGGTACATGTCGTACGGGGAGGTAGGCATAGCCTGCGGGGAGTGGGGTACATGCGGCATGCAACAGGCAGGCCCCGCCTCGCTGTTCACGCTGGTGACACATGAGCTCAGTCCACTGCACACCAGGCCGTGTCCCGAGGGCGGCGGCGGCGAGGGCAACCCGAGATGAGCGCCCGGCCGCACGGACATGGAGTACGACGAAGAGTCGTGGCGCAGGAGGCGATCCATGGAGAAACTGTGTCCAGCAGGGACTGGCTTAGGAAGGGTTGTTCCGGCTCCGGCGCTGATCAGAGTATCGCAGTGGTGGGACGACACCGGGACGGCTAGACTCTCCGGGTGATGCATTGGTAGTCTCGCCTCGTACCGCAGCGGTGTGCCGGCGTGATGAGCGTAGGGGAGCATGTGGTTGTGTGGCCAGTACATTGAGTACGGCTTATCAGTCCGGATAGGAAGGGAGAACCCATTGGTCAAAGGTCCTACCCCCCGTTTCAGCTGGGCGATACGGTTCCTGGACGCGGCCGTGGACCTCCGCCGTAGCTTCCCCGTAGTTCCCCCGATGAAGACATCGTCGCTGGACGGGTCCAGCATCCAATAGTTCCCCTTGCCCGGGTCGTCATAATGCCTAGGCACCTTGACGAAACACTTGTTGAGGCTCAGGTTGTGCCGGATTGAGTTCTGCCAGCCTTGCTTATTCTCCCTGTAGTAAGGAAAATTGGTCATGATGTATTCGTAAATACCGTTCAGCGTCAGGCGTTTCTCCGGGCTGGACCTAATGGCCATCATTATCAGAGCGTTGTAACTGAAAGGCGGCTTTTCCCCAAATTTGTTCTTCGGCGGGGAGTTTTTCTCGCCCTCTTTCGTTTCTGTTTTTCCCTTGTTGTCGTCGTCCTTTCCATCCTTTTCCCGTGCCTCCTCCTCGTCGTCCTCTGCATTGTCTTTCATTTTCTCGGGGCTGTTTTCTCTGTCAACGCTGGGGTTCAGCTCTGCTTCACGGTCAATTTTCTCTTCCTTGACCTCTTCAGTGACCGCGGGTGGCGGAGGCGTAACGGCCTGGAGTTCAGTGGGCTCTCGCTTGCCCAGCATGATGTGGTCTATGGAGAAGGGTTTCTTGGCCGATCGTATCTCCTCTGCCGTCTCAGCTCGCATCTGCATGCATTCCAACTTGACCATCATTAGAGGGTGGTTGGCGGTCCGTGTACACTCTTTGCCACTCGAATATGAACGGGAAACCTTAATCCGGGAGGAGGATGTCATGCAAGTCCTCTGACAAATTGGCCAACAACCAGTATCACCTTCGGTAAGCCATCCGTCGAGTAATGGGCTTGGCGTTCACGACCAGCGGACGAGTGGCAGTCCCGGTGTGGTATTGTTTTCTCGTTTTTCAGTATAGCAATCGGGAGAAACACCAAGCTCCACCAGAGTGCTAAGATTTAGTGTGAATTCCCCCTTCTGCCCACACTGAAAGTTGAAATTACAGTGCACGGCACAGGCTGTGTGCGCGCAAGATTACATCGCTCTCCGCATGTGTATGTGATTGTGTCACCTGCCAGTGCAACAAGAAGTTAAGTTTTCACCAACCAATGGCAGCGAGCAGAGGGGGCCCAGCGTCGGCAACGTACTGTAGACCAATCAACGCCGTAGGCTTATTTGGGTTTTTGTTGCTGCACTCCAAGCTAATCGTTCAATAAACGCAATGGTCCCGGTGAATGGGGTTTGTATATACAAGTGTTCGGGCCTGGATTAAAGCGATTGTGCCGTGGAGAGGGTTTAGCGGTTGTCAGCAGCACAGTTATATCAGAAACAAAACCAGCCCTAATGACTAAACTTCCAAGAGGTTTATGCCCTCAGCTATCAGCCAAGGCAAGGTGATGACTGTGGTTCGCACAGGGGGACACTGTTGTTGCAGTACTTAGCCAACCTTCCCATCATGGCTGACAAAACAAGGATTATCAGATGCCTTCCTTATCATTTGGTTGATCATCGGCTGCCTATTATTTACCATGATTGAAGGGAGACACAAATAAACATGATCTTGTTGTACTGTGTAGGGCAGAGGGCGTACTTTGTGCTTGCGGTAACTCCGAATTCTGTGGCGTTACCCAAGTGCTACAGTGGGTTTCTTCTAAAAATCATTCAAGGGGGGTAGGGTTATTCTACATTTTAGATGAATATGCTCCGTGCAAGAGTGCATGAGGGCTCAAAAGCCATAATCGAACACACTGGGCTTAGTGGGATGCTTGAAGGTGCGTTGCTGGGGAATATGATCGGTTCGTCCACCAATCTTGAAACCACGACGACCCCTCGGGATTTAAGCTTGTGAGGGACGGCCCTAAACCCCTTGTCCGATACAAGGTAAGAGGGGTTCCATCACAAACTGACGCCCCACAAGTGCGCGGTTCTTACGGGGAAATCCTCACAGCGAGTTTCTCGAGTTGACGTATATACCGCTAATCCTTCACGGTGGACCAGGCAACGGGAATAATGTGACAGAAAACAGATAAACTCTGGTCAAAGAAATCATTCTTCCTCCTTTTTCACTTTGCGCGGGCGAGTCCAGCAGGTCTTCATTATGATTAACTTGAGGTACATTTTTACATCGCAACATCGTGCATGTTGCAAGTTGCTGTCAATTTACGTAGTTGGGTGTTTTGCGGTCTTTTTTGGCGCAAATCATGGATAGCTGAGTTGCATTCTTATCTGCTAGCATGATTGGAGCCTATAATCTATAAATATAGATTATTTATATAGACTATAAATGCACATGCTTTTGCTGACAAACGAGGGCGCTGTTACTGTGATGTCATTACAAGAAGAAACAGTTCATTTGGGGGATTTCTGTTCAAACTTTGAACCCGAAATTTGTTCATTGAAGTATTTGTAAGAAAACTTGCAAACTGGCCCACTGCAGTGCCATGAACTGGAAAAACAACAAATCAGTAACACAAACAAAATTTACTACACCAATATATAAAAATTTAAATCCATACAAAGCTGTAGATATGAGGTTTCTCCCTTGGAATACATTATACCTTTGCTCATAAATATGCAAATTTTCATTAGTTTAAAATAGAAATTGCACCAAAACGCCCTTAAAGTGGCATAACCAGAATTGAAAACCAGGTTAAACGGGTCACAGAGGAGCATGTCCAAGATCTGCATTACAATGGTTACTTTGCATGAGCCCTTTCCATTTCACTTTGACAGTAAGCTCTATGAGGGATTCCATTTCCATGGGTTTTAACACTGGCAAAAGAAAATGCTCAGTGACGCTTACAACTTCGTTTGAGCAGATATCTTTAAAAGGTCCTGCTCCACCACTTAAAGCTGTTTTTGGCGGTGTTCTTTATTGTTGAAAGGCGCGGCAAAGGTCATTTTAAGCTATGGCTTCATGCATTCAAAAGGAAACAAGCACTTGAAGTCTCTTGTACAAGCAGTGCATTGAAACAGTAATGTACATGTATACATGTATGTAAGGGACTATTATGAGGCATATTATAAGAGCTTTAAAACATTGTGACGATGGCAATGTTAAAAGTTAGAGCATTGTATATTTGTAGATGCAAACCTGAACAAGGGGGGTTTATAATTTTACCCGCTGGAATCCGGGGGTACCCCAATAATTCAACCCATTAATGGATTGTGTGTGAAAACGTGGGAGGACCAACAAAGAAATTCCACACTTCCAAATTTACAGAAACCAGACTGCCGTGTCTTTTTGACAAGGGGAGTCTTGGCTAAAAAGCCGGCGGTTTATTTGGCTTGAAGAAGTGAAATCCTATCGTGAAGCTTGGCCCACAATTTGCCAACTTTCACATCAACAACATGGGGCCAGTACGTGCCACCCCTCACGGTCTCTGCAATCGGTGGTTGTGTGTTTTTAGCGTTCTCTCCTCCGGTCCGTGTGATACGAGCGCTCGGCAGGAAACTGGCCCACGGAACTTGGCGTTCTCTCGCCAGTCCCTTGGTGATTTCTCGAGATGTTTCAAGAGTATTTTGTCTCCTGATCTCGAAGTCAGTCAGTCTGTCTGTCACCTCGGTGATGGGGCATTACCCCCCAAAGGGGAAGGGGACGCTGTGTTGATGGTCAGTGAACCTCGGCCATGAATAGGGTAGCTCTTTAGGTCCGAAAACAAAAGTCTTTCTGATCAACGTCACGATTTTAAAGAGAAAAGTATCGTTTGATTTGGCGGGGGAAAAGGAAGAAGAGAAGAGATGTGCATTTCATTCTTGCATTCTGGGTAGCCTAAGACCTACATACAGTGGCAAACATTCCTAATAGGGTAGAACTTGCAGTTGCGATAAACTAAATAAATGTATTCCTGTGAATTCCCCAGTTCCCGCAAAAGATATCCTGTAAAAAAAAATGAAAGAATGTGGAAGGGTGCGTTCGTGTGGATGAAAACAGTAAATTGACCAACAGATAAGTACCTGTAGCTTAGCAGTGTCATTTTATGTACATTTATTTCTTTCTTGAAAATAAAAAACGAATTTCAAGCATGTCCGCGTCAAATACATGTAAACGTTTACTAATCCCCAGGCTGCTTGTAAATGTATCAATGATGCCTATATCATCATTTCCACAAATGAAATGATATATACATGTGCCGTGGCCGTGGCGGCAAAAAGCGTGAGTGCCCAATGAAAAATCAACATGGCTCCCTTCTGCCTAAACTCAAAAAACAAACAGTGCGATTTGGGGTACCATGCAACATTGTTGCGCGTGCTAAACTGCAGACCAATGGGGTTCTCCAAATCTCGGTTTCGACTCCGTGGTGGTCTGCCTGCTTTTAACTCTCTGGCTCTTAAGTTTTAAGCTCAATGAAAAGTTATTTTGCCAAGCCAAATTTCACCTTGTGGTATCACCCCGCTGGGGAAAGTGTTTAAACTTCGAACACCCTATTGTCTACAAGCAGTTAATAGGTCAACCATCAAGCATGCTACAACGGTGTTGCCGTGATCTAGAAATGAGGCTGGTCATTCGCACATACTGACGCACGTATTGACGCATAGTGCCTTGAATCAAATAGCTATTTATTTCACAAACGCAGAAAGGAACCTTGTTAATTTCCTTGACCCCTTGCGTTCAGGGCACAGGCAAAATATCTGATTCTTTATTACATGCATCATAAAACCCACTGAGACTAGAAAGTAACGAAAAGCTCAGAAAAACTGAGAGCTAATGGCCATGAAATCCGTATCCCTCTATGTTTTCAATGGGCCGCGCACGCTTCTTGCAAGCTGCCAGGGCCACTTATATGCATAGGTGCATGGTTATTAATTTATTAGTGCAAAGATCCATAGAATAGCCAACATCGACTCGTCTGCCTCATTTTTCCAGCCATCACACCGAAAATGACAATTTTATTATCTGTGCATATGTTGATATTTCCAGTAACAAACGCCTAGAGTTGGTTTGTTTTTTATAAAGTGGAACCAACACTGGTTTTGTAAAAACTCGGAATATGGTCTATTATCCCCACAATGTTCATTACCAAGAAACTTTGTCACGGATTGCGTTTCACTTGTTATCGTTTTCATCTGTGTCATCGTCCCGATTAACAAGCTTGGCCATGACTTCCTTGAAAGGCAATGACGAAAATCAAGTGAAACTTTTTTAAAAATTGTACACTGAACTGATGGCATATGCAGGTAGTGATGAGCTCAGCTCGGGGGAAAAGGGGAGAACACGGAAACTCTATAACGATCTTGTTTCTGGAAATGTCAGTGCATCCGCTGCACATCATGTGACCAATAGATTGGAGTGGGCGCTCGAACGCGTTATTAAAACCCTCTCCGCCTGCCGGCCCAGGTCCTTGTGGGGCAATCGCGGAAGAGGGCCAAGGAGTTAGGTGTAAATTAGGCAGTGACTCTTGACAGATGACAGTGGGCCATTAAAGTATCTACTTACCGCCTTGACAGCTATCAGGGTTATTCGCGCGATCACGTGACGCCCTGTCGGGTCGCTGCAGGTGAGCTCGGGAAGCAGGAATAGGTGGGTTTTTTCTTTATGAGATCTATCAAAATGATTGCGAGAACGTACGGAATTGATCAACTCCGGCTCATAATTATCCTTCTCCTCAAAATGTAACATTTTCAAGATACGGAGAAATGCATAAGAATCAAACCAACCAATCCCAAGAAGACTTTGGATAGTACATGTGTAAACTAATCTGATTAGACGCCATAACTGTGGTGGCACCGCGCTCACACGCACATTCTTCAGCTTGACGCACGAAGAGGCATGTAACGCGCGCGTATCACCTGTCCACGAGCATTGTGCCACCGCAGTAATGGCTGCTTATTCTGGTGGTCGAATTACAATATAAGTATACATTTCCAAAATGTTAGTGCATGTATTGGACAATTTATGTGATGATATCACTGGTCTCTATAGACTTATTTTGGTAATAGTTGTATTTAATCCCGAAATATTCCTTGAAATATACCTGCATATCAGTGGTTTGCCAAACTAGTTACCAAAACAAGGCAGTTCATCAGCTTTTAAAAACAAGCATTCCTT